TATCGGTCTAGTACAAAGCATGATCAATATTCATATTACATTAACATGTTCTTGTCCTGAATATGAATATTAATTTGCCGCTGGACGTTAAGCAGCCATCCATCATCATCATCTTGAATAAACTATTATTTATCTTATCTTTGAATAATAAGAGATCGTACTAAAAGTGTTCAAAAATTTGATCCTTTCCACATTTATAGACAAACGAATTGAGAACATCAAACCTAATTCCATAATTCAACATGTCATTGAACAATGATAAACACAATTGCTTGCTTAGAATGGAATTTTTACAAAACCTTCAGCTTCTTTGAATGCGCAACCTTTATTTCATATTTTAGGTTGAAAATCGATGGGAATGCATACAAAGTATTCTCAAGTATTGATGCAAACATGTAAAACCGTTTGAAATATCTTAAATTTGTCAAGTTGGAACTTTTATAACTTGCTTTGTCAGGTGGATACCCAGTTGAAATTAAACAAAAGAAGTGGAACTCTTTGTTAGAGAAGGTTAAAAAGCCAAATTGGTATATTTGAATTGTTTACATCTGTTTCTATAGGCATTAAAAGTTTAATAAAGGTGCATAATTTAGGATTTGTATGCATCTTATATACGTGTTTTTACTTAAATTATAGTATGGGGCTTCGAGATATTTGTAAACTTTTAAATTATAGACACATTTTCATTAAACAGTCGATTGTAGTAGGTGCAAATACAAGTGGATGGTTTTTTGTGCATAAGCTTAAATTCCGCCGAAAAAAATCCACAGAAAGATATTAGATTGATCTTTTTAGAACATTAATTTGCATATCTGCCCCCGGCGACAGTTTTTTGGAAAAAAATCCTAAAAATGGGCAATAATTTCATCGAAAAGAGAAAGTCGAGTGAACCTTTGTATATTCGGGCGTGTTTGAGATGATTATTCTGTCTTGAAAACGTATAAAGCAAAAATGTTTGATACCTCATCTCGCTTCAGATTCTATTATTTTTATATATTTAGGCTACAGGTTGATTTAATAACATTAAAATTCACAAATTTAAACTAAAAAATGAAATATATGGGTTAAGTGAAATAGCTTTCTAATGAGTAATAACAACAGAAAAGGTGTGTTCGAATAAAAAATTTCAACTAAAAGTATTTGACGACAGACTTTAGAAGTGGATCTTAAAAATGCATAACTTCAAAAAATCTTCATTTTTGTGTGTGTGTTATTTAGAGTTATAAGTATTCAACCTCTGAAAATTTTAAGTCTGCCTTTCAGGAAATATTTAATTAGAATTTTTTAAAATGTTTTTGAACTTTTAAAAATTCCACCTGACAACCGATCAGACAATAGTTTTAAGTTTACTAAATGCAGAAAAGTACATTAAATGATGCTCAATAGCTAGTAGATACATTTGTCTTTTAAAATACAACTGGCATATAAGGATTGTAATGGTGCTATGTGGATTAATTTATCGGTTTTCAAGAGCTAAATTGACATCGCGTCATCCCCACAATGGCTTCCATTTTTACGATTGTAAAAATTAGCTGGCGTAATGGGGAGATAATTTTGACAAAGAAGAATCCTGACTGAGTGGTATGGGTTTTGCTCATTGTTAAAGACCGTCCGGTGACCAATAAATGGTAACTGTTACGTTAGTTTGTTTTTGATGGACAGGTATCTCATCGTCTTAGTTTTATTTAAATCCAGATATGAAAAAAATCCAACTTTTGTTATGGATTTTTACTACATAATGATAACTAGTCAAATATATAGTTTGTTCTGATTTACTTTTAATATCGTCATATTAAGACAAATTAAAGATATGTCTGGTCACTTTACATTTTCAATAAATAAAGGCGGAATATGTTCTTTATTGAAAGGCAAGGGTCCATACAGTTAATAGTGAAATACTAAAAATAAGTTTGTAAAGTACAAAAATTATCATAAAATGTCCAATGTTTGTATATACAACTGTGATGATTAACGTAAGCACTAAGCAAACTTGTGATTGTCTGTGTTGTTCTGTCTTTCGATGAATAAACATTGTGGTGAATTGTAGTTCCAGGATATTAATGAATTTGTCAAAATATGTCTAACAATACAGTTGAGATTTATTCTTACCAATCACCAAAAACTGGATGAATAGAAGTTTTAAATGGTACTAGAAAGTAAAATAACAAAAATACAGAACTCCAAAAAAAAATTCAAAACGGAAAGTCCTTTATCAAATGGCAAAGTCAAAAGCTAAAACACATCTAACGAATGAAAAACAACTGTCATATGTCTGACTTGCTACAGGCATTTCCTTAGGTAGAAAATTGTGGATTAAACATGGTTTTATAGCTAGCTAAATCTCTCACTTGTTTGAAAGTCGAATATAAATCCATTACATTGACAACAACATTTGAACAATGCGTGAACAAAACAAACAGACATAATAGAAGAGAGTTGTCTCACACTGGCAAGCATACCACATCTTCTTGTTTTTATATAGACATAATACATGAGTTGTAATAGGCAAAACTGTCAAAAATTGGGGTACAGCAGTCAGCATTGAGTTATATCTTAATCACTATAAACACAAACATCTTTGTCAACAACGAAAAATAAAATGGCATATAGACAATCTATAGACAAAGCTCATACGCAATATTGAAAGACAAAAATACCAAAAAAAAAATGACCATAGCACAATAACTTCTAGCTCTGGAGGATATATTAATAGAACCCAAACAGAAACGTTTGAATTGTTAATGGAAAGAACATATTCAATACATTTGAATGTGACAGTAAATTATATGCTTCTTTGATCTTCTTGTTTTTGACAAGTATCTGAAGGAACTGCTACTCATATGAAAATAAGAAGAGGTCGGCAAGGAATGGCACACAGTTCCTTCCATAGGAATGCCGACTAGAACAATTTTACTCTTGTGTACAGAAGATAAGTAATCAAGATCAAGAACAGTTGTAGGCATAGAGAAGTAGGAGTCAAAACCGATATCAATAATGGAAGCCTGGAGCAGCAAATTAAAATAATGTAAATAAAAGGATAACATTATAGTGAAAAAGGCAATACCACATTTGTCATGTTTATAGTTTCTTATTGTTAAAGTACTTTCCTTACTGACTGTATGGTTCACAGGTGATCAATATTTAAAATTTATTTAATATATGTTCGTTCTCAAATAGTTCATAAATGAAAACTTTTCCATATTAAAAGACATAATAATTGAGTACATGTATTCTGAATCAATACTTGTCATTATAAAATACACATTTTTTCATTCAATTTGATAAACAAAAATATGATATTTAATTCTTTAAGTAGAGGAAATATATTCCAGTATGTATTATAAATATAATATATAAAGTTTGATAAGACAAATGTACAGTCTAATTAAATATTTTTAGAGATAAGTATTTGGAATACACAAGGACAATATCATTTTCTAGGTGAATAGCTTTATACACAAGTCATCATAACAGTATGGCATTACGCAAGACTACTAGGGCTTGTTTAACGACCTTGAATACCAATGAGGGTCTTGCACGGTCAATCTACAATAATATGTCATGCTACATATGTGATTTAATATTATTTAGCAAACTTTCCCATACGCTAAATTAATCTGTAACAACAGTTTATAAACTAATAAACAACTAGCTGTCAGTAACTGCGAGTACTCTCAAATCGTACTTTCTTGTTTATTTGACCTGTTGATACTAATAGTATTGCTTTTTATTATTTAATTTTATTCAGGGTTATATCTAGTCTATATACCAGCTTTGATAAGTGTTTGGTATTACTATAAATTTTCACTTCGTACTATGAACATCAAAATTATTTATTTTGTACAAACATTTCCTTTCTCTATTGGAACTGTACACGTATACCTAACAACAAAATTATTTTCATTTACCTGTGTTTAAAGTTATTGCAAATGGCTGATATTTTTGTTCGAGCATATTGTTTTTCTTTAATTGTTTAACATTTCATACCGATATAGCATGTTACTTTTATTATTCTTCCCTTAGTTTATTTTTTTTTGTATTTACATTGTATCATAGATCAAATTTATTTGTTCAGTGTATGTTCAATGGTGTTAATATGTCCTTTGATTGAGTTAAGCTATTTCAGTTGATATTTTATATTGTGTCTTTCTATGTTGTGATGTTACACTATTGTTTCAGAAAAAGGGTGAAGGTTTGGTACCATTAAAACGTTTAAACCCGCTGCATTTGTTTGCACCTGTCCTAAGTCAGGAATCTGATGTTCAGTAGTTGATCAGATTGTTCAGTTGTTGATGTGGTTCATAAGTGTTTCTCGTTTTTCGTTTTTTATATAGATTAGACCGTTGATTTTCCCGTTTGAATGGTTTTACACTAGTAATTTTTGGGGCCCTTTATAGCTTACTGTTCGGTGTGAGCCAAGGCTCCGTGTTGAAGACCGTACTGTGACCTATAATGATTTACTTTTATAAATTTTGACTTGGATGGAGAGTTGTCTCATTGACACTCATACCACATCTCCTTATATCTATCTATAAAACAAAAATCATGAAAACACAAATAATTTAAAAAAAAAAAAGACAGTAACTCAATATTTATAAAAATTACCATCGATATAATTCATAGAATATTTGTTTGAAACTAAATAAATAAATAAACAAACAAGTAAAATTAATAGAGCTGCTAAAAACCGTTCTAGAGACAGAACTGTCAGAATCGTTTCTATGACAGGACTGTCTAAAACAGTTATTGGTTAGATCAACCTGTTTTTGGCAGTGTTAAAGGTAAAAGGAGAACTCTTCTTACTAGCTAGTAGTGGTGGTTCTAAAACAGCTCTCCGGACATTTTTAGATACCTCTGAACTGATTCCATCAGTATCATTGCAGGCTGATATAATGAAAACAAATAATAAAAAAAAAAGATAGAACGTTTATATAAATGGTGAAAGACATACTTTTATATCATTGTGGTACTATTATTAAATTTTACTTGATATCACTTACAGTTTTCTCTGTAGTATATTGTTATATCTGTAATGTATGTTGTGTTAGAGGAAAACGTGAACATCCACCATGCATTTTGAATATTACGTGTTGACTGCTTTGTACTTGAACACGTATCTAAGCTATATTGATTTGATATTGGTGGATTAACAGCGTTTTCCGGTTTGCCTTTACTTTTATCATTATTATCATATAAAGAACTTTGAGAAGCAATACCAAATGGTGTAAGGTTTTCTGTAAAATAGAAGTAACTGTTATTAAATAGACATACGAAATACTGTTTTTTATGTCTTGTAAATTATAGATTTGCTTTGCAGTTGTTGATGTTATAAATATACAACATTGTGGTAAATGACATTTGCGTCATTATCACCAAGATAATGGAGTAATTGAAATAAAGTGTAAAGTTTTTTTCCATATTATTTTTTTTAAAAGATAATCTTCAATCAGCACGACTCAGTATTTGTGTGAGCTGGGTTTTCTGTCGTTTGCACTTTGAATTTCAAATTCAAAATGATTTTTATAAAGCTTATAGAGTAGCTCTAAATCTATAAATATGAAAAACATTGACATATAGTTTCTAATACAGAATTAATTAATATATGTATGTTGTTTGGCATAAACCAACATTTTTATGACATTTCTACAATGTAAAGATGCACTGTGTTATAGTTTGTACTTCCATAATTATTCATCCGTCCGTCAAGTACCATGATTTTGTGTAAGATTATGGATATAGCTCCATATTTATGGTAAACTGAACTAGGAAATCTGATATAGTAAATCTGTTACATTCTAACTTAAAGGTTTGGTTAAAGGTTTGGTTAAGTCTGTTTTTACAATGAAGTTGTAGTCACACCAACCTGAAACTTAGAACACATATTTATGATGATGTTCACGGAGTCCTGTAATTGCTACACTGGCATGGGAACCAATTTTATATTTATGTCCCAATATTTATTGAGATTAACAGTAAACACAACTTGATATAAAATGGACATGGTATAGATAACTTACGTTGTGCAGAAACTGTCAACATAACAGTTGTGTGGATAAGTAACATTAATAACATGTTAGGCGTTTTTTAATCTGACATTCCAAATAGTTTTGTGCTAAAATATCAATAATTAATACATGTCAAATAGTTATATATGTATGCTTTGATATATACAAATATGTTATAATGTAGGACAATACAAAGGATCATGAAGTTTTGTCTATACATTGTATTATATTTTCCCCTATTTTTAGAATATCTCATTAAGTAAACTAAAGGAAAAGATAATAGAATAGAGCAACATGAAATGAAATGAAAAACAATGATAATGACATTAATAATAGTGATAATAATATAAAAGTAGTAGTAATAATAATGATTTTGTCGTAATCTTTTATGATTTCGAAGGAGATGCGTACTCAACAAAACAGTGTTTGGGGAGATAACTTTTACAAGAAAAAGTGTTCGGGTAAACAAGATCAGTTTCAAAAGGACTATAACTGTTCAATATCATATGATAAAAATCTAAGCGGTATCTTGCGAAACCACTATACACCGCACGAGAAAATGTGGCGGAAGAAAAAAAATAATAATAATGATATTTAAAAACAAATTGTTCTAAGTCCATTTCCTAAATATTAGATAAGTAGCTACTTCCGGTTTTCTCGATGTAATTATTGTCGTCCAATTATAGGTTTCTTCATACTGATTCGATAAAACAAATGATTTATATACATTTTTTCCTGAAATAAAGGAGATATTTGCCAAAGTCTGGATTATAAAATATCACTTCCGGTCTCAAAAGTTAGCTACTTTTACTTTACACAGATTCCAAAAAGATATAGTTTCTATATACTTTTGCCTATAATAAGAGACATACTTCCAGTTCATCGAAAGTCACTTCCAGTTTATCGAAAGTCACTTCTGATCTTAAATGATAGGTTTATGTATGCATATTTAAAACTTATATGGTTTCTTCGCACATTGCCGTGAAATAAGTGCAAAAATGGCTATTTTCGGTTTACTCAAGGTGACTTTCGGTTGTCATCGTTCAAGGTCATATGTCATCCATCATATTGCAAAAAACCGAATGGCTTTACAATGTACCATGTTGAAGTAATAATCAATTGTTTGTTAATTAAAACACTTCCGGGGCTGAAATCCTATTAGATGTCATTGAATTGTTTCATACATTCATACCTTCATCACAAAAAACACCAAACATTTTGCGCTAGTTCTTTTATATATATCTTTAAAAGTGTCAGAGGGGGTCATAAACAAGCAAAAGTCAAAATGTAGAACATGACTTTGACCTTTGACCTTAACCTCAAATTAATTTTTCTGAAACAAGGACCTTAAATCAAAATACTTGAGGTCTATATCACTTACCATTCATGCAATATATCAATATATCACTTATGATAAATAAAGAAGGGAATAACTCTTATATCGAGTCTTCGTATCGCTTCGGTCAAAATTGGACAAAACATCCTGAGGATATAACGAGCAATTTGGTAAAATAAATTTGATATTTTCTTTTACAGTTACGGAGGAGATGCACTCACAAGGAAAACAGTGTTCTGGTAGATAACTTTTACAAAGAAAAGTATTCGTTCAAGCAGGGTCGATTTCAAAGACGTATAAATTGTGCGATATCATATACCAAGAATCTAAGCGACATCTTGAAAGACAAAAAGGTTATGCAAGAAAGAGAGAAAAAAAATCAGAACAAATACAATAGGTCTGTATACAGAAAAGTTAAAGACTTGATAATAAAAATCAGAAAAAAATCAGTAGGTCTTTCCAAAGAAAAGTGGAAAGACCTAATAAATATAATAACAATTATAATAATAACGATGACAATAGCAAAAGCAAATATAATGCGTATATACTGTACAATAGATGAATGAGTTTTCAGTAAACTTACAGAAATTTTTACACTTAAATACCCAAAAAATAATGTATTGTCAGAACAATGTACGAATTAAATGAAAAAACTACGATTATTGCACTTTTTATTTTCACGTGTTGTTACGTGTTGTATAATAATATAAAAAGACACATCTGCTAGTAAACTTATTTTTCAACCCGATTTTTTCAAAAACTTACATTTTATCAAATAATGTTTTGTACTGCACTAAAAACGTACCTTTCTTCAGCAATGTTTCTGTAACAATGAATGAAGTAGTCAATTTTCAACAGGAAGTAACTTACTTCACATTATATAATCAAAAGTTAATATTTAAACTTAGATACTAAAAGCACGCAAATTTAACATCGACCTTGTATTGTGTTTTACATTTACTAGTACCTCGGAATTTAGAAGTTGACACATACGCATTGTATTGTTCACAAAAGTAATTTTGCACAAAACACATATATTTTGTATTAATATATAATTCAAACAGAAGGAAATGAATTGTACAATGTGTAACCATAAGTATGCGCACTCCATCCCACCAGAACGATTTTATCTCAGTTTTACAAATACAAAAACATATGGTCTGATTGACAATTGGTAAATGATCTAAAATATAATAAACGGGATGCATGTAAGCAACAAATTAGAAAAAAACAAATATGATAGACAGCTCCTTGCGATATCTACAACATTATAGGATTCTTGACTTGGGACAGACACAATGACAAATGATCCAACGTACCAATCTAAGAGCACTCACCGTTACTAACAGATAGTTTAAAGCGAATATCAACTAATGAATTAATCATGTTATCCAATAATAAGATATGAACCAGAACAAATCCAATTTTGCGAAAAGACGTAATAAACAGTCGGAGAAAAGTATGACCTTGTATATAGTCTAAACATAAGTATCGAAAGTATGGAGGACCATAAGACATATCAAGTGATATTTTTTTTTCTAATACCAAGATCTATGTTAGTGTGTATAGAGATCAATCAAAATCAATGTTAGCTATAATAAAAATATTCAAAGATCCTATGTCGTTATATGTAGATACGTTAGAAGTTTTAGATGTACTGGTTCATTTGGAGCTTATAACTATACAATCTGTTATCGTAAGATATTGTTTTGAATATTGTTTTTTATAATGAAAACATGTGATATAGTTATATATGTATGCTTAAATATGCAATAACATGTTATTACATGTACATGATATATGAAAATATAACAAAGGATCGTGAAGTTTTGTAATTACATTGTATTATTTTTTCCTTTATTTTTAGAATATCTCAAAAAATAAAAATAAGGGAAAATATAATAATAATAATAATAATAATAATAATAATAATAATAATAATAATAATAATAATAATAATAACATTTAATTTAATAATAATAATGAAAACAGTAGTTATAATAATAATGATGTAAGTAACAAAAGTAAATATAATGCTATACAAACTTCGATAGACAAATGAATTGTCTGTACACTTACAGAAATTTTCCCACTTACGTACCAAAACAAAAAAATTATTGTCAGTACAATGCACGAATTTAATCAGCAAGCTATAACGACACTTTACCTTAACACGTGTGGTATAATAATATTTCAAGACACAAATAAAAGAACATTTTTGATTTCAAACCCCCAAACTTTTAAAACTTATATTGTAGCAAATAATGTTTTGTTCTGACTTAAACACTGCTTTTCTTTATGAATCTTTCTGTAACAATAAATAATGTCAATTTGCAACAGGAAGTAATTTACCTCACTTGATACAATCGAAAAAATAAATTGTAACTTAGATAAGAAAAGCACGCAAAGCTTACATCGACCTTGTATTATGTTTTACATTTACAAGTACCTTGGAATTTCATTTAAAGTTTGTACGATCAAAAGACTTTAAGTGATAGAATTTTTAAACAAAAAATATATTTGATTTTTGCAGCAGGACACACTCTTTCAGAGTTACAATAGTTTAATCTCAAATGTCCTAAAATAGACATACGAATACAAAAGATTCATAACCATTTATTTAAAAAATAAATTTTCAAAGTATAGAGGGGAATTCAAGCTGTCAGTAAACAATTAGCAGGCGGTCACCATAGTTTTAATTCATGGGAAAAATTGTAACTAGCCACAAGCGTTTCGACTGGTAATTATACATGACGCATACTTTTTATAAATACATAATTCGACTTTATCAGGCGTATATTCAAACATAAATAAAAAACAGTAAGTGGAATAAGAAAATTTTCAAATACTTCAGGAACTTCAAATACACGGAAATTAAAAGTCGAGATATGAATTACAGACACAATTATAGTAAATGTTTGTTTAAAAACAAAAAAATCTTTGTTTAGAGGCATAATGGGAAATAACGTACCCACACAACCAACGAAAATTGATATCCAACGAACAAAATGAATCCACAGTGATAGATTGTTTTCTTCTTTAAATCTTTTATATGGTAATATGCTTATGCTGCTCAGTCTTTAGGTATAGAACCACTAATTTAGGCCTTGTCGGAAAGAACATACAAGAAAGTAGTACGAATTTTAAACAAAATAGTTCCTACGCATAGCTGTATCTTTGTCAATAGGTGAAATATTTGGGTAGTTTTGGTGTCTAATGAACGTTTGGGGATTTGGGGTCAATGCAGAACCCTTGTTGAAAGTTTCTTTTGAATGATAGAGAAGAATATAAAATTTTAATAGGACGGCACATTTTTCCTGTTGTTCAAACCAGAAGTACCTGTTTTTGTACTTTCAAACTTCCAGAACCATTACACTCTTACATGATTATGCAATTAAAGGTATGTTGAATTTTTCAGAACAAGTCAGGATATGGTATAGTTTTGACATGAAATATCTGCCACTTTATTTTAACTTAAGACAAAGTAGCCATTATTGCTTAAAATTACAGAATTTAACATAGAAAGCAATGGGGCAATGCGTTAGTGGTTTTATACCTTTAGCTTTTTATGTACAGTTTTGTGAATTTGTTTGTTAGTTCGTTTTCATCCATTATTTAGTAGTTTCTTATCATATCTTTAGTTGTGAATGTTTCCTCATTTTTTCCGTCTCTTTTTTTTTTAACAATTTTTGCAGTATCTTAACATTGATGGATTGGTTCGTATTGAATGCCATTTTCGGAACTATTGTGCTATATCGTGGCGGTCAGCTTTTTTGGTGGAGGAAGCCGCACTGCCCGGAAAAACTACCGACCTTCAGTGGGAAAACTGACAATCGCATCATATAAAAATTGTAACCGAACGCATCTGGGACATGCATGATTCCAACTAATTAAACAACATCAGTGTTGACAGGTTAGTGATATTATAGTTCTACTTCTTTCTAAATAGTTTTCTCTTTGGCCATCAATTTACATAATTATCCTTTTTTTATATATAACACTAAAATGACACCATTACATGACATGAATACAGTACAACATTACGGACAGAAAATTACGCAAATAAACAATACAATATAGTACATTTGGAAAACGAAACAACAGAAACACTGAAGTTAACAAACAACAAACGACAATGCAACACACACAGAAACAAAATATAAGATAACAATTGCCATTTTCCTGACTTGGTACAGGACATTTTTAAGAAAAAATGGTTGGTTGAACCTGGTTTTGTGGCTAGCCAAACGTCCCGCTTTTATGGCAATGTTAAATATAACATTAAAATGACAAGATTACATGACAGGACTACAATACAAATAAATGGGAGAACATACAGGACAGAGACACACACAAATAATAGGTATCAAAAGGTACCAGGCTTATAATTTAATACGCCAGACGCGCATTTCGTCTACATAAGATCCATCAGTGACGCTTAGATCAAAAAAGTTCGAAAGCCAAAACAAGTAGAAAGTTGAAGAGCATTGAGGACCAAAAGTTCCGAAAAGTTGTGCCAAATACGGCTAAGGTTATATGCCTGACATAAGAAAATCCATAGTATTTAGAATAATTCATCAATTTATAAAAATGACTATATAATAAATATACATGTTAACACCGAAGTGGTGACTAACTACAGAATAAAAAAGAATACGTAAAACAACTACACGATAACATAATCATATTGATTACAAATTATATTTTAATATTCATTTTATTTATATATATATATGTATATATATATATATATATATATGTTGTTTGTGCTGTATTTAGACCCCTCTACAAAGAAATTTGTTTTGCATGCAAACGTATAAAAAATGCGGTTTTTATCCAACGCAATCATAGGTTTGCACGTTGTTTTCAATTTAGACTGCTTATATTTTTTCGTTTGGGCTTGTATTATATTTGCCTTCGGGTTTATATGATCCGTTCGTCCTATTTTGACTCTTTCAAAATTCAAGAGTCTATCCTAAATTGAGGTAAATTATATGGCCTTCCAAATACCGTTTCGATTCCTAACATCACTGAAGAGACATTAATTGTCGAAATCCGGATATGGTGTACAAAGTTTTGCACCTCATGTTTGTGGTTTACCATCTTTTCCGCAAGTTTATTGTTTTCTGCTTGGTAATAGATTAATAATAAGATCTATTTTGTTACATCTTGTGATCCGTTTATTTGGCAATCGCCAATGGCAGTCAGCAGGGTTTAAGAACATCAGTTGTTCGACCTGCTAGTCAAATGCGTTTTGTTAAAATGTACTTTTTCACTCATTTGGTTTTTTGGAAAATGTTGTTTGTGCTGTATTTAGACCCCTCTTTAAGGAAATTTGTTTTGCATGCACATGTATAAAAATTGCGGTTTTTATCCAACGCAATCATAGGTTTGCACGTTGTTTTCAATTTAGACTTGTATATATATATATATATATATATATATATATATATATATATATATATATATTACACCCTCCAACAAGAAATTTGTTTTGCATGCACACGTATAAAAATTGCGGTTTTTATCCAACGCAATCATAGGTTTGAACGTTGTTTTCAATTCAGACTTGTTTATATTTTTTTGTTTGGGCTTGTATTATATTTGCTTTCTGGTTTATATGATCCGTTCATCCTATTTTGACTCCTCAAAATTCAAGAGTCTATCCTAAAATGTGGTAAATTTTATGGCTTTCCAAATACCGTTGCGATTCCTAACATCACTGAAGAGACATTAATTGTCGAAATCCGGATATGGTGTACAAAAACCTTTGCAATTTTATTTGTGGTATATCAACTTTTCCGCAAGTTTATTGTTTTCTGTTTAGTATTAAATTTATAATTAAGATCCAGTTATTACATCGGTGATCCGTTTATTTGGCAATCGCCAATGGCAGTCCACAGGGTTTAAGAACATTTGTTGCTCGACCTGTTAGTCAAATGCGTTTTGTTAAAATATACTTTTTTACTTTTTTGGTCTTTTGGAAAATGTTGTTTGTGCAGTATTTAGACCCCTCCAACAAGAAATTTGTTTTACATGCACACGTATAAAAAATGCGGTTTTTATCCAACGCAATCACAGATTTGAACGTT